CACACACACAATTATGAACTGACATTTATGTTTTGGTGCAAATATATATTTCATAAATGCAAGCTGTGCATATTGTTTCATTCATTTCATGCTGTGTCAGCAATATAACAGATGATACCCAGAAGTTAAAAGAGGAAGAGAAACTGAAATTCATAATTTCATAACTGCAATCTGCTGATCCATCGAGGAACTGAACCTCTGTGGAGTCATTTGGTGGCCGTTCAGCATTTACACACAAAGGAACATATTTTCAACGTTTTTTGCCTGAACACACATTTTTCCCTTCAGCTCTGCCCTGGTTATAATAAAGCTATTTTTATAGAAAGAGAACTTTTAAAATGTTATTTAATGTATTTATCCATAAAATATGTTCATTAAAAAACAACTAATGACCAATGTAAACAGTGTTCGGCTGCGTCACACTTCTGCTCGTAGCAGCTGCTGGAGAACATTCACTGCCATGCAGCATCTCATGCTCCTATCTTTTCCTCGCGATGCTATCTTTATTCACTGGGTCTGCTTTTACCAGAGAAACGTGCCACTCTGATGATGACAATAAGAGCAAAGCAACTCTAACCTAGGCAACAAATGTGTCTGTTAACAAACATGTAGATCTTTAGCAAGAGTAAGCTTAACCTTAATGCAATATTTAAGCATTTGATAATTAACACAAAGCACGGCTGTGGTGATGGGAAATTCATTAGTTTTGCAGGTATGTGGTGATAAACCAAAGATACCACTAGGGTCCAGGTGACTTAAATTCCAAATTGTTTGCAAATATTGTCTATGATGCTTTATAATAAAGTAATGAAGTTGCCATGCTTTGCCTGAAGCAGACAGATTTGAAAGAGTTTGTCACATCAGTGAGTCCAGCTTTGTCTGGATGTTGCAGCTTGTTTTTCATCTGTCAGCTCTGGTGAGCACTGAAGTTTCCTACAGCATGTCATCTACTATGACGGGAGACCCTTTTCTGATGGAGCCTCATTTTGTGTTTTAAGCTCCTTTTCAAAAAAACATATCTACAGCTTTAATAATAACAACAAGTACATTATTCCACAGATGATCGTAATGAAACCCACCAACTTCACCAGCAACTCCCTGCTCCCCAGGTTGGCCTTTGAGTCCCATTTCACCCTTTGGTCCTGGAGGGCCAGCAACACCACTGTCACCTAGAAAGAACATGACAGGTATGTGATCTACTGATGGACTGTATCTTCTGCTGCTCAACACTACTACTGAAGCATGCTGAATAATACACACAAACAGTGCCGTTGGACAAGGCTGTACACCAGTCAGGGATCACTACCCAAGTCCACAGTTTAGAACTTCTTTAGACTACACACGTGCGACATATGAATACATTTAATCACACGTCCTTGGAAGTCCAGCTGAACGAGATTGTAAAAGAATAAAATTCCGATGTTAGGTCTTGGAGCCCACAATGCTCATTACATGCCACTATACTGACACGCTGTTCTCAAAGTCTGAAATGAAAGGTTTATCCTTTTCAAAAAAACATATCTACAGCTTTAATAATAACAAGTACATTATTCCACAGATAATCGTAATGAAACCCACCAACTTCACCAGCAACGCCCTGCGCCCCAGGTTGGCCTTTGAGTCCCATTTCACCCTTTGGTTTGAGGAGAGGTTGATAAATGAGTTATCCGTATGGAAGTGGCTCAATAAATCTGCTGATTAGATTTTAATTTTCTTTTTATACCAATAGAATTTTGGCTTGATGGCAGAAGGAAAGGTCACGATGTCTCCAAAATCCTTAAGATTCATCGTATGAGGATCACAAATATATAAAGTGCATGGCAATCTGAGGCAGTTTGGGGACAAAGTAAGGTTGGTACTAGTTTTTCTAGAGCTAGGTCCAGAGCCGGGATCTTTAGAAATATACGGTCATGACTCCAGTGCAGACCCTACACCCTTTAGTTATTCAGTTAACTCTTTCATTTGATCTTCTGTAAGTTAATCACAAGATGGCCTATTATTGCAAACCCTTCTCTACACTGCAATCAATCTGGTAGGGATATACTGAATCTTTATTCATTTATCTAAATATTTGGTCATTTGTCAGCAAGGGTAAAAGTCCAGTGCTGATAGAGATCTCATATAGTAAAAGTCAGTGTACTGACTAAGTTGTGAGGGTGTGAAATAATGGCTGCAGCCTCTTTATCAGCCAGTTTTCATCAGACATCTGACAAGAGATGACAGGTCATCAACGCCAGGATCATTGGCAGACCAGCAGCTGAAAGCTAATGCTTCCTGAACACATATACACAGCTTTGCTATATCAGCTAAAACCAGATTCACTTCTCGTTTGGTGGTTTTATTAGCTCAGAGGTTGGCGCGAGGCTCTAAACAGATTTAATTCTCTTTCTCCACTCTAATATCAGACCATAAAATCTGGTTATTGTTGAGATGCTGACCACACTTTTCATATTTAACTGATTTCAACTTCAGCTTTAACTCCTCTCTCCTTGACTCACCTTTGATACCTGGCGCGCCTGTATGCCCATCTGTACCTGGAGGTCCTGAGGGCACACACACAAAATAATGTCTAGGTTGATAAACTCTGCCCTTAAAATTCTGTTGAGGTTGTTACAGTTTTATGCTTTGCAGCTTAACCTTAACAGTCAGAATTAAACCTAAAATCCATCCTCAATATGCTAACAACCACAGAATGCTCTTTGTGATAAATGCTCATTTTCCTGACATTGTGACTTCAAGTATATACTCTCGCACACAAACACAGATTCAATTCAATTCAATTCATTTTTGTACAGCCCAAAATCACAAATCACAAATTCTCCTCAGAGGGCTTTATAATCTGTACACATACAACATCCTCTGACCCGGGACCCTCACATCAGAACAGGAAAGACTCCCCCCAAAAAAGGAAGAGACCTTAGGGAGAGCAGCAGAGGAGGATCCTCTATCAGGATGAACAGAAGAGTGATAGATGTCATGTGTACAGAATGAACAGCAGAACAGAGTTATGACACATTCAATACAATACACAGATGTGTGTATACCTGGTATGAGGCTGATGGTTGTCACTTTGCCCTCCAGGTTGTGGGTGCTGGTGTTGAGCAGGTTCAGGTCAGACAGCAGCCTGCCCAGCTGACCCTCCTCTCCACACAGGCTGTTGACCTGTTGTCAGCAAACCAACAGAAACATGATTGTTGTGTTAGTGCGATGCTGTAAAACACAATCTCATCAATTAAATGAACATTTGCAAAATACATTAACCAACACAAAGTGTGTTGAAACAGAAAGCGAAACACTTTTTTTGAGTACTGTGACAGGTTGTATATGGACCCAAATACAGCACACGAGATTCCAGGAACCGTTGGCTTATATTATTACATTATAAACATAGCAGGTACAGAATGATACACAAAGTCCTTGGCAGAGCGGCAGATACAGTGGGCAGAATTAATCCGAGTCAGGAACAGAAGGCTAGTGGGTTTACCGGGAGTCAGGCGGGACGGGTAGATCAGGGGTAGGCAGGTTCGATCAGTCGGTGACAGAGCGCTGGAAAGTCTGGCATTAAAGTGGCTGACAAGTGGCTGAGGAGGGTGTGGAGCTGAACTATGACAGATACACAACGAACTGCCAATCTTGTGATTAATGGACGATCCACTGTACCCACTGAGCCACAGGCAGCCCCGATAACGAACAGGCGTCGCCTTCTCAACGCTGTTGCTATTGGGTTTTTCCCCCTGCGCATGCTGTGTTGTGAAGACTTCTTCCGTGCCCTTGTGCGCAGCACAGGCAGCCCTTACATCTGCACTTGCAAAATATAACAGCCGTGCAACCATAATTCTGCTCACATTTTTTCTTCAGTGTCAAGCAGTCCACAGGCGAAGAAGTAATGAAGACGAAGAGGTCTAGCGGTGTCCGTCCTTGTACTGGCGGCCAGATGGGCTACAGTCCCATGTCGGACATTCACCTGAGCTGCAAAAGATGCCTCTGCACTGTTGATGTTGGGCTAGCACTTATCCTGCAGGGCGCTTGCTATTTCTGTGCAGTTCACAGTGAGTAACCATCTGAATGAGGCAGAAGTGTCCCACGACTCTGCTTCATCGCAGTATGTTGTACACACGTTAAACATAAGAAGGAAGCAGCCGCTGTTCGTTCGTTACAGAAGCCACTCGCAAGGTGTGGCTCTGTCAAAGCAGCGTTTGTCTCACTGGCTGTGTGACGCCATCACACAAACCTGCATCGCAGCGGGAGAGGAGCCTCTGCAGGGTGTTGGGGCATACTCCAAGAGAGCTTTATCCTCATCCATGGCCTTCCTCAGAGGGATGACAATGGCAGACATCTGCGCAGTGGCATGCGGGGCAGATACTACCTGTGCCCTTTCATTCATTTCTATCTGCAAGATGTATCTGAGTCGTCCCTAACTCATTCAGTATTAAATGTGCTAGATGGCAGATGAAGTGTTGCCCGATCTGGCACTTTTATGCACTTGACAAACGGTGTGCCTCTTATCTGATCATCATGAGTAAGTGGGTTGCATGGGGACCATTATTATACATAATCCACAACCCACTGACTGCTTCCGTAGCTGGGTAAGCTAATTCCCCGAGTACCAGTCTTTATTCTAAGCTTACCCAGACTCCAACTCTGTAGGCAGCACACACACATGAATGAGATTGATATGGTTCTTCTTATCTCACTCTAAGAAAAATAAGCCTATATTCTAAAATGTTGAAGTATTTGTAATGATGTAAGTCATGGTAATTATTCCAAAGCCTTACAGACTTTTTATCATTGAAAAACTGGATAAACAGTTAAAGTAAAAATAAAACAATAAACATATACTACCTATGTACAAAAGTAAAAAGTTCAGTAAAATGTTACATATGAACAGCAAGAGGACCTGGCTCTCCAGGGCCCATAGATGGCCCTTCAGGGTCTTGGTTTCTTCACTGTTGTTGTAGAGGAGAGTTTGAATGTGGTCATCAGGAGATTGGATGGGATTGGATGTCAGCTTTTCCAACCTGGGATTAGACGATGAAGACTCCAACGTGATAACTGGGACAGAGAGGAGAAAATCAACAAGCACGTTTCATCAGCAGGCCTACATAATGACATCAGCTTGAGTTAGTGAAACAAATATCCAGAGTACAAACTGGCATAGAAATATGTTCCGCTTCAATACATCACATTTAAATATATGTGTCAATAAATAATAATATCTGTAAGCAGTCATACCTTTATAAATGAGAAAAGCATTAAGGAAGGTCTGCAAGAGGAGGAAAACAACAATCACAATAAAACACCACTGTCTTCTGGGCCTTGCCGGCTTCAGATCTGAAACACAAACAGGAAACTGCATCAACACAACAACAAGCAGCCTGGTTCATCCAGCTGATACAAATGCTTTTATAAATTTGCAACGCTCTGAGCACAACATATTTGGACAAATAGTGGAAATTGTCAGCTGTCAATCACAATGAAAACCTAGTGAGAATTATTTTTGTTGGCAGAAATTTCATGAAAGTGACACAAAACCAAAGTGATTAAGAGTGAGAGGTAAAGAACTGTCCTGTATCTGCGGACACACTATTTAAGAAATGGCAAACCATCCTGACACAATTCACAACTAGGCTTATCTATAAATCATGAGATGAGCGGATTTGTGTAGAATTGAACATTCCTGGCCATTTTTACTGCCATTTCCGCATCATTAAATGCATTTAGACGGAGTTAACGGGCTATCTCATTCTTTTCATTTCCTCACATCGGTTATACAACCAGAATGTACGCTACCCTATAAGTAGGCTACAATTACCAGAACATCACGAACAATTAGGCTCCCTCATGTGGCTCAAAGTCTATTCTAGATATAAATGTAAAAAGGGCAATGGAAGAAATCCTGGAAATAAATTTGGCGACCCAAATAAAATCTCCTGCGACCGACCTGTGTCCCTAACCAGTCTCTGGGAATGAGTGGGTTAGAAGTGTTTGTAATATGCTCTGAAGTGATGGTCAGTGAAGTTTGTTGTTTCGATTGATTTGAGAATGATTCCAGCTTTACCGTGCACAGCAGCTGGACTTTTGCAACACCACGAGATCACGCAAGAAGAGCGATCAAAACATCACATGGACATCCATTTTAGATTAGTTTCCAATGACTGCTTCTCAAATGGTTCTGTTTAAACAAACCATCTGCTGCGTCAATATTCATGATCTAAGCGTAGCAATTAGAGTAGATGTCTCCAGAAGCCGTTGCAACAACCCTGTCTCATAGACGTGTTTTACAAGGCTAGTGGAGGCTAGTTAATACTGGAGTTTAAAGACTGTATAACACCGAAGCAGGTAAAGCTGATAGCCGATTAATAGTCTTGTATTGTGAACAAAGCACTGATAGTGTTGTGTAATATATTTGAGATTAAACTTTTGTATAGAAGAATAAACTCAAATGGATCAGATATGACATGAATATCACTTGTCAGCTGTTCCTTTTTAGCACATTGTCTAACTTCATCACCAGAATAATGCATTGAAGGAAAAAATATCTTAAACTATATAAATATCTAATAACCTCATTAAAAGTCTTGTGTTTTTATGTTTTATGTCTGGCATATATGTGTTGATAAAATGATGTGAGTTACATATTCTATTAACATATTGAGGAGATTTTGTTATCTGCAAAGTTTCAAAACGTCCATACTGAAAGTACTATCTGCCACCCCGTCACTACTCATATATCATTTGCTTTTTTCTTTAATATCTGCTCTTTACTGTGCTCAACTATATTTCTATTGTCACATACATACAGCACTGGTGGGCGGTGCATTTCATACCTGGGCCTTCACTGCTGTCCTGCAGCTGAAATACAGCTACGGTTATTTGTTTTGTGTAAAGATGAAGCTCAACACCTATAAATACACTAACTGCAGAGAATACGCCGAGACTGTCTCCTCTCTGACTGCTGCGCGAGGCTTCTGTGAGAGTACCCGCCTGCGAGTGCTTTGGGGCGGCGGAGCGGCTCACGGCAGCACCGCTGCTCGTTCACCACAGTGCAGAACGTACGAGCTTTAACGTCAGAGTCACAACACCGGAACAAGTCTCCAACAACACCAGAACAAGTCACTCGATTTGTCGCTAGTAGCTTTTGACAAAAAAAGTCTCCATGAGGGTTTGGAAAATTTGCCAGATTTAGCGAGAAAGTCGGCAAGTTGGCAACACTGGCAGCAACTAAATATGTCCCCAGAGCAACATAGGATGTAACAATAGTTCCTATCACATATAAAACCAAACAAAAATCCATCTTCATAAAAACAAGTTGTACAAATAATAATATATAAACAAGCATATTAAAGCTATTGACTTACCAAATGCTGTTCAGTTAAAGACAAACTCCATCCTCTTTTCTTTGTTAACAAAGAGTTTAATCCCACGGTTAAATCCCAACTCACAAATCCGTTTCTCCTCCTTCAGCCATCGAGTGTTAAAAAACAAAGCTAGGTAAAAATAATAACAATCTACACCAAGCAAAATGCAAAAAAATGTAATAATTTCTTCCATATCTTTCAATTTGAACTCTTACTACTCCAACTAAGCCTCTGCTTAAGTTTCGTTTTCCAATAGTCACATGCTCACCCACTGACCAATCACAGCACACGCTGCTCCTCACTGCAGAGCTGAGCTGCACATAATGCTGACGTACTTGTAGGCCAGCTAGCAGGCTCTGACACGTCAGAGAATACGCCCAACATGTCAAACTAAAGCGCTAGCAGGCTCTGACACGTCAGAGAATACGCCCAACATGTCAAACTAAAGATCTGATTGGTTGAACACTATGACAATCAACAACATCGTCCCCATTCACTTAAACTGCACATGGATGCACTTGTGAGTCTGCAGGCCTCTATTCTTACCTAGAGACACAGAGGTGAAATCTGATTGGATAAAAGCTCTACTTAAAACAAGCTGCACTGGAAGTAGAGCAACTGAGGAAGACAGTAGCTGTGCAATGAGAAAATAAGATAATGGAGAAAATATTTTTATAATTTATAATAGTGTATTTAAGAACAAATATTAAATTATAAAATAGCTATAAATGTGATTCTGTTTAGGCCAGCAGAGAAGGCCTTGAAGGCCCTGACGGCCCACCACTGCATACAGGTACAGTACATACATGACAGTTGACCTCTGCATTGAACCCATCCTAAGCTTTAGCAGCAGTGGGTTTCTTTGAAGCGCACAGGGAGCAACTTGGAGTTCAGCGTCTCGTTCAAGGACACTTCCACATTCAAACACTAGGAGCCGGGGATCGGACCACCAACCTTGTGATAAGAGGACAACCCACTCTACCCACAGCAGCCCAATGATATCCGATGCAATGAAATACCACTGATTACCGCTTTCTATGGTTAAAGTACGTATGGTTAGGCACTAAGTTTAAGGAAAGATGATGTAAGAGACAGGACATCTTTTTTTATAAACATTTGACCATAATCTATTTCAAACCTAAATACATAATCAAAAAGAAATAAAGTTTAAGACAATACACATTGTTACATGTATTTCCTGTTTATTGCATGCACTTACTGAGTCTCTGACATGTTGAAAGGTAATGAGTCTGAGTTACCTCACAGTACATGCTGAGTGGTTTAATGGAGGAGGATAGGTGAATGTACGTCTGCAAGGTGGACAAGTTGAATTATCTGAATGTCTGAATTTGAGACTTTTGCAAAAATCATTTCATTATGACTCTAGGTATAAGCATAAAACGGTAAAAACATACTATGTGTATGTCCCTTGTGTTTTTGTTGCTTGATTTGTTTTCATTTTTTTCTTTTCCACTAATATAACTTTTGTACAGTACTTCATGCGTTCCCCATAAGCTCTTGTATTTATATGTCTTCTTATACCACTGCGCTGCGACAGCTGCTCGTCTGTCCGTTCGTTCCATTGTCGGCAATATCTCAGGAACCTGGAGGGATATTCTTCAAACATCCACTGATCCACGGACTCAAGAACCAAATGATTAGAATTTAGTGGCCAAGGTCACTGTGACCTCACAAAACATATTTTTGTCCATACCTAAGGAATTCATATGCTAATTATGACAATTTCACACAAATGCCTAACAGGATAAAATGATGTAGTGAGGATATTTAAGACATATACTGTAGATGTAACTGCAACTTGACTGATTGGCAGATGTATTCTCTATTGCTACTGGCTAAACCAATGGGCCCTCTTAGGACAGTGGGCTGGGCAATGCTGATGTTGTTGGCTCATATTTCTTTTGAAGTTGTCCTAATTTATTGCATTATAATTGAAGTAACTTTCAAAAGAAAACAGGCTTGTCCATGTGGACCCTTTGACAGCAGTGTCTGGTGTTAGAGTCCTTTGTCACAAAGACATTTTGAAATGCTCAGGTGTAAATTATAAAATGGCTGAATTCTATTTAGCAGCTTCAGTTTCATATCCTGGTATTGTTCATGCAGCTCACTGTCACACAGGCTGACTCTGAAATAGAACAGAGTCATCTTTATTGTTCGTAACACTTCTGCTTTTATGTCAAACATCTGCTTTGAAAAAGTCTATTCATCCAAATTAGTTTGGGAATTTACATCAAAGATACGATTAATTATTTTACTTTTTTTCAAAATAGCCCCAAATTTCAATTCCACGGGGAGCCTGTCGTCATATTCAAGTCATATTGAAATGTCTCCTAAACGTGGTCAGACTTCGTCTGGAGGTAAAAGCTGATTCATTCATTAATTTATAGCCTGACACAAAATGTGTGGTTGTGAAGAAAAATGAATACGGCAACTGTGGCACTGACCAGCAGTTAAATCACTCCTTCTGAGGTTAGAATGTTTTTAAATAATATGAGTAATGTCTAATTATTTGATGACAATCCACTTGACCACCACTAAAACAATGTGCTTATTAATAACATATTTTCACATGCACCCACATTTTTTTAAAGACTTTTACTTATTAATTTACTTATGTTTTTTCAAGTGTCTTTGTATGTGTTAAAAATTGTTCCATGTGTATTATATCATATCCCTGTGTATCTTGTGTTATGATTGTGTATTTGTGTCTTTTATGCAGAGCTGTGTTTGTTGCATACAGAGGAAGCCATATGCTGTACAATTTGTAAAGTCCTTTGAGCCAAATTGGTGATTTGCGATATTGGTTTATACTAATAAATGGAATTGAATGGAATATAGAGACAAGCTTTTTTTGTGCTCAACCTGAAGATCACGTTTGAACTTTTTATCGTGAGATTTAGAGCCATCTAGTGGTGGGGTTGCAGATAGCAAACAACAACACATCCATCCGCTCACCTTCCCTCTCCGAGCGTTCACTTCTGTAAACATGTTCGTGCTTGTTGAACAGCGCACATAGTTGTCTTCAACTTGAATAATCTTCACTTCACCTGGTTCCCTTTAATATCTCCACCGCAGCACTGGACCTCTGCTCACCTCCGTGTGCGTGTTTTAGTGTCTACGCGCGTGTGTGTGTGTGCGTTGCTCCGACAGAGAGAGCAGAGGAGACGCACGCTGCAACGTGATAATAAATGACACCAAAATATTAAAAAGTATCAATAAAAAGCACCAGTAAGGTTGCGGCTTATCAAGTCTCTGGTCTTTAAATATGTTGCACTGGGGCCCTTTAATTCCCGGTTGTGGTATTTATGCAGATAACTCAGAACGTGAACGGCTCTGACTGCAGCTGTGTTCAGCTTGTTCGTTATGGGCTACTGTAGGAACTTGGAGGTGCAACATGATGGACTCCATCGCTCCATGTAGATATAAATGGCTTAATGCCCCACTTTGGAGGAAGAAAAAATGTTCATGCCCCACCGCCTCAACAAAATTGTAACAAAATGGTCCATGTTGAATTTTTATTGAAATAACATTTTGTGACTCCTCCGTCTGTCCTTTTTCAAATAATAGAATAAAGAAAATTGCAATCACTTTTAAGAAAACCAGATTGCGTGTTTACCGTGGAGCATTTTGACGTGTACTACGGAGCAGTTTACAATACAGCTGGTTTCCGAGACAAATCTTTGTAGCGCTGCAAATTAATGAGGCAGATGTTTGTGATGTTGTCATGAGGTGAAAATACACAATGTGGACAATAACGCATCAGAGGCAACAAGAAAAAGCCATAAAACTAAGAATTCAACCAGCCAAGAACACAGATGTGTCAAGTTGAGTTAATTTGAGTTTGGCTGAAGGTCACCAGTTAACAGGGTCCATTCTTAAACCGTAACCCTGCTCTGCTATACCCCGCCCTCAGTCACTAAGTCATAATAAGTATCTCATTATTATGAGATACGTATCTCATTATTATGAGATAGTAAGTCATTATTTTGAGATGGTATCTCATTATAATGACTTACAGGATCTGTATTTTTTCCTCACAGTGGCGGAAACGGGCTTCCATACATTCCGCCATGTATTTAATTACTTAAAAAAAAAATAAATAAATAAAAAAAAAAAATCTGCATTTCCCCCTGCGCCCCACCTGTAATACCACCGCGCCCCACTAGAGGGACGCGCCCCACAGTTTGAGAACCACTGCTTTAAGGAACGATGTGGGTCTACAGCAGACGTCTATGTAGCAGACATGTTGACCTATCACAACAGTAACAGCGCAGGCTTGACTAATAATATGAACTGCTGCTCCGTTCCATTTGTTAAGCTCTAATAAAGCCACTGCGCACTACATTACATTACAGTCATTTAGCAGACGCTTTTATCCAAAGCGACTTACAATAAGTGTATTCAACATCGGTTTTCGAGAGAACAACTAGTCACCAGAAGTAATAAGTGCATGTCCTTTCCTCAAACAAGCATCTAAGAGCATAAACCAGAGCCAACGTACAGTGCAGAAACAAACGAATGCAATAAGTGCCACAAACTAATATAAAAACAATAAGTGCAATAAGCTAGTATGAATACAATAGATGCTAAGTAAGTGCTAAGCGGAAGGGTAGGCCTTCTTGAAGAAGTGAGTTTTCAGCCTGCGCCGAAAGATGGGCAGCGACTCTGCCATCCTGACGTCAGTGGGGAGTTCATTCCACCACTGTGGGGCCAGGACAGAAAACAGCCACGACCGGGTCGATCGGCCGCAGGGACCTCTGAGCGACGAGGCAACCAGTCGCCCCGAGGTAGCAGAGCGAAGTGGTCGGGCCGGGGTGTAGGGCTTGACCATGGCCTGGAGATAGGAAGGAGCTGTTCCTTTCACTGCCCTGTAGGCTAGCACCAGAGTCTTAAACTGGATGCAAGCTCTTACAGGGAGCCAGTGTAGAGAACGGAGAAGGCAAGTTGTGTGGGAGAACTTGGGGCGATTGAACACCAGGCGAGCTGCAGCTTTCTGGACAAGCTCCAGAGGTCTGATGGCCGACGCCGGGGCTCCGGCAAGTAGTGAGTTGCAGTAGTCCAGGCGGGAGATGACAAGAGCCTGGATTAGCACCTGCGCCGTCTCATCAGTGAGGAAGGGGCGAATCCTCCTGATGTTGTAGAGCAGGAATCTGCAGGAGCGTGTAACCGATGCAATGTTTGCTGAGAACGACAGTTGGTCATCCAGGGTCACACCCAGGTTTCTCGCAGTCCGAGTTGGCGTCACCACGGTATCATCAATGGTGATGGACAGGTCTCGGTGCGGGCAACCCTTCCCCGGGAGGAACAGTAGCTTGGTTTTGTCCAGGTTGAGCTTGAGGTGGCGTCATCCACTTCGAGATGTCAGCCACTTCGAGATGTCAGCCAAGCATGCAGCGATGCGTGCCTCCACTTGAGTGTCCCCGGGGGAAATGACAAGACCAGCTGGGTGTCATCGGCATAACAATGGTAGGAGAAGTCATGCGAGCGAATAACAGAACCCAGAGATGTTGTGTAGAGCGAGAAGAGAAGGGGGCCCAGGACTGAGCCTTGTGGAACCCCCATAGTCAGCATGCGTGGTTCCGACACAGAGCCCCTCCATGACACCTGGTAGGATCGACCTGTCAGGTAGGATGCAAACAGGGAGAGTGCAGAGCCTGAAACGCCCATCCCCTCGAGGGTGGATACTACCTGCCCAGCACCTAATGCCATGCAGAGTTAGAGTAGCTGGTGAATGTATAGCATAGCCATTAAGAGAGCTAAATGTGGGTTTTTCTCAGGAGTTGGTGGAGCTAAAACAATATATATATACATATATATAACAAATCAATATTGGACTTAGATTCATCAAGTGGACACAAACAGACTGCAAATAGATGTTTGTTTGTCTGTGTCTGCTGGACTGTTTGCTAATTAGCTATATATAACTTTATATATAACATTATGAGCTGATATGTCAGCTTTAAGTCTATTGCTACGCTACCTCCATGTAGCCAAACAAATCAGTTAATGCAGGTTTAATCTTCTTAGTTCCACCTACTAAAACATCTGTGATGGAGGCTTGTTCAGTGCTGCACTGCTGTAAGGTTGGTTTGTCAAAGTATCATTTTGAAAAAGAAATATCAAAAGCTGCGAAGGCGGGAGGAGAATTTAAACTCACTTGGTAATTCATTACTTTCTTTGTGTGGAGGGAGATGCTTTTGATTAACATATTGTTTGATGTTGAAAACATTTGGAAATCTTTTCTTCCTTCACAGTAAAGGGTTACAGTTAGTCCCCTCACAACATGGCCTGATGTTTGGATTGCTGCCATAACTATCATACACTGAAGTCTTATAAATACAAATAAACAATGTTTGTCACTGTCAAAATACTAAAGAGCAGTGTTAAAAGCTCTGATTGGCCAGAGCCCTGTCAGCATTAAGCAGCTGGCCAATCAGAGCCCCAGGTGCTGCATCACCGAAAGGCTGAAAAAGGAAACACTGAAACTGCTTCACAGGAAACTGATTCTTTTGCTTTGATTGGCTACGGGGTGCCTCAAGGATAAGTTCATCTTATTTTCTATTTATATGCTTAATAGTCTTTCTTTTAAGATCTCTTTCCACGTTTATGTGGATGAAACTAAACAATGGGATATTCTCCTCCTTCTCAATATAATGAAGTTCGTTTATGCCTGACTGCATGAGAGGCTGACTGTCTTCATTTGGTGGACAAGTTTAATACCATGTAACTGTATACATGTAAATAGAATCAGACCCAGAGGTTCTCATTATTAGACCCAGTTTAAAAAAGGTAATTCGACATTTTTAGATTACATTAGACCAATTTTATCATTTGAAAGTGTTTAGAAATGAATCCATGCTTTGTGTCATCATCATACTGTAATTCATTATACTCCTGTTGAGGAGTTATACTCAAGTATTCACAAGTTACAATCTATCAGGTTCTAACTACATGCTGCAGCAAATGAGTTGAGTTGTCGTGTCCATGTAGTAAATTAAAGTCTGCATGTTCCTATAATAAAATCATATCAATCAGGTTACCATGTTTTCTCTCACAAGTGCCAACAGCAGCTCAATCTATTCGTTGTGAGATACTCACCGTCAGGCTGGAAGCTGTAGAGGTCAGTCCTGCTGTGTGACATCTCAAACAGAGGGTTACTCTGGGTGAATGAGACTCCATCCCTCGTCTGATCCACTGATGTCTCCATGTTCTCTAGAGTCCAGAATCACCTTCACTTCCTCCTTCAGGAACTCTTATATCACAGTGCACGGTGTTGGGAAAACACAATTCACCCCAGATTGCAACAGAAGCCGTGAAAGAACTCACATGGATTGAAGGAGAGGAAGTAACTACATCCGATAGCTGAGGTGGCCAAAATCCAGCAGCTCAGCCATGCAGTGGAGTAGAATGAGGAAGTTGTTACTCAAACCATGGATGCAAGAAGGACTTGCAAAACACTAAATGAATAAAGTTCACTATTTTTCATCAATTTTAGAATGACTGGTGCATTATTATGTTACTGTAATAGCACATTTCTACTCAGTATATTGTATTCATAAGTACTTCTGCTCTGAACTTTGTTGAACTTCAGCGTGTCTCTGTTGTGCAGAAGAAGAGTTCTCCCTCTCTGCTCACAGAGATAACCAACTGTGTTGTATGAGAATGTTCCAGCACCAAGGCCTTTGGGCCGCTTGCTTTGGTTGCTGACCGTTTGTTGTTCCTATCAGTCTGAGACCAAACGTCAGACTGAAATGTGTGTAACATTGGCCATCGACCCCCACCTTTGCTCATTCTGTATAGAGAAAGCTTGTTCACTCTTCTCTTGGTTCTTCCTCACTGAGACTGTACGCATTCTGTTGTGATGATTGAACCTTCTCTGCGCAGAGAATAAATACTTCAAAGACAACCTGGTTTTTGGTATTATGTATTTCAGCATGAAGAGACTCTCACAGAGCGGGTATAGGAATGTTTCCACCACACTACTTATGTTACTATGTTTGCTTCATTATCATATCCACTAGTTTATCTGATGTAACAGACAGGATCTCATACTGTAACAATCTAGAACAGAGTAGAACACGGCAAGTTAAGTCAGTCACATACAAAATGAATTGTATAAATAAGTGTGCACACACAAAGCAGAGCAATGCTGACCTGTCTGACCAAGTTCAGTCTGACCTGAACTTGAGCTCCTGCAAATCTTTCAAAGGACATATACACTAGGGAGCAGCTCTTTTGGGGAATTGCTGAGCCTTTTTATAAACATCAAACTGTATATTTTTGATTATGTCTTCAGCAGGAATTCATTGGCTTGAGGCTGAGAGTCAGAGACAGGGCTGGAAAATCAGAAAGTATGGAGAGACGGGCTAACACATTGTTCATTTTGGTCTTGTCATGGGCGTTTGACAATATCAAAAAAAAATACTTTAAGATTTATTGGTTGAATATAAATGGATTGCCTCCCACATCGGCTTGATTTGTTACAGTCAAATGGCTGAGGGGACTGCTCTTTGTGTCTGAATGCTCTTTGATGCTTTTAACTCTTCTTCTTAACAAAGATCCCTCTGAGCAACATTTGGGTAAGAATAGAATAAATCAGCAGTTATTGGTAAAAGAAACAGGAAGCTTACCATCGAGATGTGTGCAGATTTAAACAGGAATAAATGCTGTTTCATGATAATGCTACCAATGCTTAGCTGGAATATTTACAGGAGTGTTACTTAAGCTAAGCTCTTCTTGAAACTTTACAATATAAATGGGTTAGCCCAACTGGAGTATTAGCAGCAGATAGCATTGTTTAACCTCTTCAATGCAACCGCTGACTGCAGAAGACCTAAAGGAAGAACGGCAGCCCAAAATATATTGAGCCAAAATGCAAACACCGTTGTGGTTCAATTATGATCAAGGATCATTTATAGATTGGAAAACAAATTCAAAATCAAAGGGTATCAACGGGAAAAAATGGTTTCTGGGATGCAACACTGTGGGTGTCACGGGACATTATGAGGACTCAAATGCAGAGTAGTGAACAAAAGGGTTTTAATAACTCACGAAACAGGTAATCCAAGGACGAGAGAAGGGGGGAAATCCGGCAGGACAAGGCAGG